TGTCCACGTGTGTCCCATTTGGAATTGGTCAGTCAGGCCTGTGTCCACGTTTGTCCCATTTGGAATTGGTCAGTCAGGCCTGTGTCCACATTTGTCCTGTTTGGGATCAGTTGTCCATATTTCAGAGGAGGGCAAGGCTTTGCCAGAGGACACAGCAGGGTCCTCCTCATAGAGCCACCCCAATCCTGTCCTGACACATCTTTCATTCTTTCAGGTGAAGCCCTGGGCGCTATTGGGAACCCCAAGGTGCTGGATATCCTGAGACGCTATTCCGAGGACCCCGTGGTCGAGGTGAGGATCCTGGGGGGGTCATTTCCTGTGGGATGCAGCACTGCTGGTCTGGGAGGGTGAGGCAGGTCCCTCGTGGGCAGCCCCTGCCCCTGGGTGGTGCCATCCTGCTGCGTGCTGGTGCCCTCCCAGTGCAGTCCCACAGCCAGAGCCGTGTCCCTGTCCCTCAGGTGGCAGAGACGTGCCAGCTGGCCGTGAGGAGGCTGGAGTGGCTGCAGGAGAACAAGGAGAAGCCAGGCACCAGCCCGTACCTCTCTGTGGATCCCGCTCCCCCTGCCGAGGAGACGGACGTTGCCAAACTCCGTGAGACCCTCCTGGATGAGTCCCGGGAGCTGTTCGAGCGGTACCGCGCCATGTTCGCCCTGCGGAACCTGGGGGGCCAGGAGGCTGTGCTGGCACTGGCCGAAGGTGAGGGGCTGTCCTTGCTGTGAGTCTGTCCAGGTTAATCCGGGATGAGCCCTTCCCAAGTCCAGGGCTGCCAGAGCTGCTCTCACATGTTTGTGTCCAGAGCTGCTGCCCCCCTGCCACATCGCAGAGTGCTGGGTGGTCTCTGGTGTGTTCCAGAGCCCCCTCGCCACCCTCCAGACCCCCTTCCCTAAAGGGTCGGGGTGGGAGGGCACAGGCTGTGATGATGGCCCAGGACCAGCCTGTCTGACCTGGCCCCAGGGTCTTGGGGTCCTGCTCTCCTGGCCTGGAAAGTCAGAGGCTGCTGGGGTTTGGGAGTAGCTCTGGAGAGGGGAGCAAATGTCTCCATGGCCCAGGAACTGTTTGGACCAACCCCCCCAGCCCGAGGGAAGTGGATGAGGCTCTCCAGCCATCTGGGACCTCCAGGTCTGTGAGATAGGATCTGTCAGCTCCTGCTCCAGCTGCTCTGTCCCAGAAGGCTGGAGACTGTGGCTGCCAGTCCTGCTGGAAATCGTGTGGTGGGGCAGGGCCTGGGGCAGGCGGGGCGTGGCAGCTCTGCTGGGGGGGTGGGTGCTGCCATCACGGGAGGGCACCGGAGCAAGGTCGGGATCAAGGAGCAGGATACCCCTTCCCCGGGGTGGGGTGGTGACCCACGGCATCCCCCAGCTTCCCCTCAGGGGCGTCTCATCTCACTGCCCCCTCTCCCCGCCCCCTCTCCGCAGGGCTGCGCTGCGGCAGTGCGCTGTTCCGCCACGAGGTCGGGTACGTGCTGGGGCAGCTGCAGGACGAGGCGTGCGTCCCTCAGCTCACGGCCGTGCTGCGCAGCCCCTCCGAGAGCCCCATGGTGCGGCACGAGTGCGCCGAGGCGCTGGGGGCCATCGCGCGGCCGTCCTGCCTGCGAGCCCTGCGCGCCTTCGCCGGCGACGGGGAGCGCGTGGTGCGCGAGAGCTGCCAGGTGGCCCTGGACATGTACGAGTACGAGAACGGCGCCCAGTTCCAGTACGCCGACGGGCTCTGCAAGCTGCAGGCCTCCCCCTGAGCCTGCACGGGGGGCACCCGGGGGAAACACGCTGCCCCCTGCCCCCTCCCGCTGCCGATCGTGCTTCTGTGGCCACCCCCGTTGGCTTTGCCACGCGGAGGCGGAGGAGGAACTTGGTGGATTTGCTCTCGCTGGCACACCTACAACCACCTTTTCGCTCCAAATCCAGGCTGAGCTGCTACTTGCCTCCCACCAGCCCCTGTTTCCTGGATCTGCCCCTGTTTTCCCTGCCAGGATCAGCGCTGCCTGCCCGCAGCCTGGCTTGGGGCTTGGACCAGGTGGGCTCTGCTCGGCAGGTCGGAGCCTGCCGCGGCTCTGCAGGGCTTGAGGCTGCTCTGCCTTGGTGCTGCCACGTCGGCTCGGCATGAAACGGCTCTGTTCTCCCCACCTGAGCTTTGCTGGGGGCCAGGATGGGCTTTGGGCACCCGCTCTGTGGGTTGTGGTGTTGGGATGCTTCTAAATTGCCCTTGGTGCTGGTGCCGAGCCGGGGCCCTCCTCACCCCTGTGGTGGGTTTGGCCTCTCCTGTTGGGGCAGGCCAGGGCTGAGCCTGTGGCAGCCTCTGCCCTGGAATGGGGGTTGTTTCATGGCAAAGTTGGGAAGATTTGGCTGTTTTTTCTTTCTGCAGGGAATGGTGCTGCCATTAGGGCGGGCAGGGTGAGGTAGAGCCTGCCTGGGCATCCCCTCGTGTTTAACCAGAGCTGGGAGGGCTGAGGCTGCTGCTGGCACCCAAACCCAAACCCTGTGGCCAGCCCAGCCTGGGCACCGGGGGGGGGCTGGCAGGGAATAAAGCACTGGCACAGGGATCTGGAGTGAGTGGAACTGTGATTTCTCTGTGCCCAGGTGTGAGGTGCCCCCAGTGCCGTGGGGTTGGACCCCAGCGGGGAGCCCGGGGGTTGCTGTAATGGAATCATAGAACCATCAAAGTTGGAAGGGGTCTTTCTAATAGAGTCCAGCTGTGGTGGAAGGAGAGAGCAGGGAGTGGGGTGCCTATTAGTGTGGGGTAAAACCCCACAGCCCTGGGGAGGAGGGTGGACACTGCCCATGGGGTGCCCCAGGAGCCCCCCCCAGCACTGCCCAACGGAGGGGGCAGTGGGACCCACTGGGGTCCAGAGGGCCTGGCACCCTTCTGGGCATGGCTGGCTCTTCCCCTTGTCCAAGGGCTCCCTGCGAGTCACTCCCAGGCTCAATCCTCTTAGTCCCTGTGGCTGGCTCAGCATCTCCAGGGCTCTGGTGCTCAGGGACACAAGCAAGGGGCAGCCCTGGCCATGGCCCAGTCTGACCCAGTTCAGGACCCCAGGGAAGGGGCTCTTACTCAAGATGTGACCAGTTTTGATCACTTGTACCCACTGCAAGTCAGTCCCACGTGCCCAGTTTCTGTGGATGGGGTCAGCTGTGTGTGACATGGAGGGTGGGGGGCTCTGAACCTCCCTTCCCCAGCACTGGGGACAGACACCTGGTGTTCTCACACTGTTTGGAGTCAGCAGCTGTTATGGGCTTTCTTGTCCCCCTTCCCTCACCCTCCATAGCCCCTGGGTGGAGGGCAGCACCCTGCTGGCACTTCTGGCACTCTGGGGTGTCCCTGTGCCCATCTCCATCCCCAGGACAGTGGGATGGGTGATTTCCCCCGTGCTGTGTTATCATTTCCACCGTCCCCTTCCTGGCACACGGGCTCTGGCACGCTGCCAGCACATTTCCCTGCTGTTTTTGTTCTGCTGCTGTGTTTATTCCCACTTATCACCCAGCCCTTGATCTCCAGCCTTTCCACAGGTGACTCACGTGGACCATGCAGGGTTGTTTCCCAGTCTTTCTGTGACCGTGTTTGTCTCTGCTCCCCCAAACATCTTTTAAGCCCATATTGGAACGAAATGCATTTCTGAGGCTGATATCTGGGTAGAGTGACCTGGTGCAGCAGAGCTGGGAGGTGCTGGAGTGGAGCAGGACTGGGCCTTGAGTCCTGGCTTGGCACCGAATCTATCCAGCCTGTGCTGGGAAGGGTTTTTCCAAAGCTGCTGCTGGTCCTGACCAAACCCCATCCTCCTGGGTGTGGGGGGAATTGCTTTTGGGGGGTGTCTGGACCCCACACCCCCCTACAGGCTGCTCGGCTCTGGGGGAGTCACACTGGGCACTGGGGGCACACTGGGCACTGAGATGCCACGTGTGACAGCCATTGTGAAGCTCTGGAAAGGTGACAGCCCCTCACCGTGGGCTGCTCCACCACCCAGTGAAGGGTGTCCTGCAGGAGCCCCCCTGACTGGGGCTGCATCCCTGTCCCCTCTGCCCATCAGTTCCCAGCTCCGAGGGCACTGTGTCCTCCTGGATCTCACACCATCTGCTCCGGGGATCCGAGGCCTGCTCACGGATTTAACCCAGCCCGGGGGAGGGAGGGGATGACTCGGGCATCCCTCCCCATCCCTGCCTTTGGGAATTCTCCAGCTGCAGGTGATTCCCCACTCCCAGGGGGGAACTGGGGTACCCGCGGTGCTGCCAGAGGGGCAGTTTGGGGTACCCCGACCCATGTCGGAGTCCAGCAGTCCCCCCCAGGCTGAGGCAGCTGGGCTGTGCCCGGATTAGCGGGCGCTAAGCTCCTCCTCAGCAGCACAGCTCCCGTCGCACGGAGGGCGAGTGGCACTGCCCCCGGCCATGGGGACACCGCTGTCCCTGTGAGCCGCCGGCAGAGGTGTGGGGGGAGCTGGCCATGGCCCTGGCAGGGGGAGCGTGGGGGCCGCGGCACTTGCTGCAGTCCCCCCCCCGAGGAGGACGGGGTGCTGTACGTGGACTACAAGCCCCCGGCCCTGGACAGCATCCGCCTGCCCCGCTACGTCCTGTACCTGGTGATGGCGGCCACGCTGGTGCTGGTGGTGGCCTATGCCATCGTGGGGCACCTCATCAAGGACCTGGTGCACGACTTTGCCGGTGAGTGCTGCCCACAGCGGGGTCGGGCTTTGGGGGGGGCCGGGGGCATCCCCCCCAAAGCCCGGAGCCTGTGCCGCGGCGGGGCTGTGCCGCTGATGGCTCCGTCCCTGCCCCCGCAGACTGGGCGTTCGGGCCCAAGCCGGAGGAGGAGAAGGCGGTGATGGCCGAGGGCACCGTGCCGGAGGTGGAGTGGTTGGAGGAGGACGAGGTGCTGGTGGAGCGGAAGGTGGAGGGTGAAGGCGCCGGGGTCCTGCCCGGCATGGACGTCCCGCTGGCACTGCTGGCCCCGCGCAGCTCCGTCTCCTTCGCCGACTCCCCCAAGAAGAGGTTCTTCTAGGGCCAGGGGACCTCCCCTGCCACCAGCGGGACCCCACAGCCCTGCCCGACTGTCAGGTCACAGCACAGATGCTGCCGTGGCTTCCTCCTCCCTGCCCAGCCCCAGCGCTCCCCCCAGGTCCTCACCCCACAGAGCTGCCTGCCCCAGCCCCGCTCGCCCCTTGGCCCAGCACGGCACGGGGGGTGGCAGGGCTGGGACCCGAACCTTTGCCGGGGGTAACAGCACCCCTTGGCACAGCCGTGCCACCCTTGGGCATGGGCACGTGGGGCGGGACACGTGTGTGGGTGCACACGTGGACACACGTGGGTGTGTAAGGGTGGGTGCTCAGCGGTGCAAACCCCTGGCATGGGGGCACAGACACTCGTGGGCAGGGGGCACAGGCACGGGTGTGCACATGGAAACATGGAAACACGGATGCAAACACCTTCGAGGGGGGGCCCACATCAGCACAGGCACACAGGGAGGGATGGACAGACAGACAAACAGACACTGAGGCTATGCTGCCCTGCCCCCCCTTGGTGCCCTGGCACTGCCAGGCTGTGCCCACTGGCACCCACAGATGGTCCAAAGCCAGTCTTGGGGTCAAAGTACCCGTGAGCCTCTCTGTGGCCCAGGGTGAGGGCACTGGGGATGGGGGCTGTCATATGGACCCACACCCCCTGCCTTAAACCCAGGCTGGGGCTGGATCCCCTGTCCCCACCCCTGCAGTGGGGCCCCTGTCCTTGTGTCCCCAGGCTCCTTCACCCCTCAGGGAATCACCACAGTCAGGGTGGTCCTGCCAAAACCCCCTGTCCATCCCTGGGGTGCTGCTGGCCACCCCAAACCTCAGTCTCCCCTGTGCCCTGGTGGTCTCCCCAATGACACCATTAATGTTCAGCTGGGGACAGTACCAGGCACTCCTTGGGATGGGATGGGGTCCCCCTGGCACGAGCTGGGATCCTCTGGAGGCTTGGGGAAGGGCTGGGGGTGGCCTGGCACTGCCCACTGCCCCTTGTGCTGCCCCACCCCCATGGGATCTGCCCCAGCCCTGCCAGTGGGGGTGAAGTGGCACCCCATAGGTAGAGAGGGGAGGCTGAGGTGGGGCAGCAGGCAAGGTGGGCACCCATCCACCCCATTACCCACCAGTCTGTCCTCCCACCCCCCACCCACCTTAATGTCCATCCGTCCATCCTCTCCTCCGTCCACTCACCAACCCCCAGGGTGGTTCCCAGTCCTGGGCACGGGGGTACCACCGTGGTCCCTGAGGTGCCTGAGCCAGGGGAGAGGTGCCACCTCCCACGGGTGACAGGAGTCACGTTGCCATGGCTCTTGGTGACAATTGTCCCCGGGAGGCCAATAAAGGTGCCCCTTGCCCTCGGCGCGGAGACAACGCCCAGCCCGGCGGGGACAGGAGCTCATCTGGAGGAGCAGGACCCAGCCGTGCCCGAGCCCTCCGCCCGAAAATGCCGCAGCCCTCGCAGCCCCTCTCGCTCCTGGTCCTGCTCGTCCTCGCCGCCACCGCCCGGGGACAGACCAGTAGGTGCCCCGTGCCCCTCCCGTGCCCCTGGGGTACCTGGGGGAGTGGCCGTGCCCACCCCAAGGCATCTGAGAGACCTTCCCGGTGGGAGCAGTCTGTTCCTGCAGCAACCCTTTTGGGGGCAGAGCAGAAAGATTTGGGGGCACCTGCCTTCTGTCCCCAGTGCTCCCCACGCTCTGCCGGGCACGAGTGGGCTGTGTCGGGAGGTGGCTTCCTTGGCACCCAAGGGACAGCGGGAAGGGGGGAATGATGAGTGTCTGCCAATGTCCCCTGGTGTCCCCAGAGTGCTCCCCCATACCAGGGTTTGGGGGATCCCATCCCTTGCAGGATGGAGCTGCTCTGAAGCTGTCCCCATCCCCACCTTTTGCCACCCCTGTACCCATTCCCCTGCCATGTAGGCACCGGCCCAAAGGTGCTGCAGCCTTGGCTCCTGGGCCTCACGGCCGTCGTCGTCTTCCTCTTCATCGTCTTCGTGGTGCTGATCATTAACCGGTTCTGGAGCGTCAGGAAGCGCAGGTGGGGGGGCCGGGGGGTGCTGGCAGGGGGGCCGTGTGGCAGGAAGCCATGGGGTGGGGACAGGGCTGTCCCCAGGCACCACTCAGCCCCTCTCTTGCCTCGCAGGAAGCAGAGCGACCACTCGGAGACCACGGGGTCTGACAGGTACCACGGCCCGGGGGCGGCGGGGTGGCACCGGGACCTCCTCCCCGGTGGGGTTTGGATCCCCCCGAGGGTGGCCACGTGCTGGAGGTGCCGTGGCGTCCCGGTGGTCCCGCGGTCCCCCGCGTGCCCCTGGCACGGCCGCAGTGCCGGTGCCGTCGGGGCGGCCGTGCCCGGCTGACCCGCGTTCCCTCCCTCCCGCAGGATGGAGCGCGTCGGCCAAGTCAACTCGGCGGCCGAGGACAGCGACGAGGAGAGCGACGGCAAGAAGGGATCCAAGGCCACGTCCCTCTGAGCCCCCCTGACCCCACTGCCCACCCCGGGGCGCCGCCGCCGGGCACGGCGCCCTCACCCCGTCCGCGGCTTCGGCTCCGCGCCGGGTTTCGGAGGCAGCCGCGGCCACCGTGGCACCTCCCGCCCCGCGGCCGCCCCGGCTGCGACCAAGACCCGGCATGGATTCTCCGTCCGCCGGAGCGGAGTGGGGAGGGCGGTGGCCGGGAACCGTAGCGGGACCCCCTAACCCCCCCAGCCCTTGGCCGGCGGTGGGTCCCAGCCCCCTTCCCAGCCGTGCCCAGTAAAGGTCCCCAGCCTGCTCCGGCGGCAAACGTTTGGTGTCACCGCGCTGGGGAGGGGGCTGTTCTGCACCCCGAGGTGCTGGGGGGGCAGTGGGGGCACCCCCGGGGCAGGGGACGGTGGCAGTTTCCGAGCTGCCAGACCTCAGCGACCTCGGCACGGCGAGACACCTTGTCCGGCCACGCCGCTGCTCCGACAAGCCCGGGCCGAGGGGGGACACCGAGGGGTCGGGGGGCTGAGGAGCACTGGAGGGGGGCGGGCGGCCTCGCCCCCCGGCTGTCCTGAGCAGCGCTTGGGGACAGGGACGATGGGGACAAGGAGGGGTGACCGCGCGGCTCCGTGCCCTAGGGGTGTGGGCGATGACGTCACTCTCATGCGATGACGTCACGCGCACGAGGCAGTGACGTCGCGTGGCCGAGGTCCCGACGCAGAAGAAGTGGCAGCAGCTCTGAACCCCCCACGTGAACCCACGGCTGCCCCCACCCGTGTCCCTGTTCCCATGTGTCCCCTCCCTGCCCCCCCCCGCAGCCCCGTCCGCCTACGGGTGGGCGTCCCTGCTCTGGGGTGATGGGTGCCCACTGCCAGGCAGAGCTTTGTTCCAGTACATCCCAGTGTCCCCCAGTTCACCCCCCCGCTGGGACACCCGCTCTGTCCCCGGCCGTGCCTCAGTTTCTCCCGGGGCAGCGAAGGAAGGGCGGAGGCGAGCTGGAGTTGAAGCATAGCTTGTTTAATTTTTATACATTTTTTTTTTGTCTTTTTTTTTTTCCTTTTCGTTTTTTTAATCTTTTTTTTGTGTGTCAGTTTTTTCTTTTTTGTTTTTTTCTTCTTTTTTGTCTCTTTTTTCTCTTTTTTGCATAGGGGAGGGGGGGAACAACCAAAAAAAAAAAAAAAAACAAAACCAAAAACAACCCAACAAAAAAAACCCCAAAACTAAAAGAAAACAAAAGAAAACAAAACGAAAAAGAAAACCAAAAAAAACCCCAAAAATCCGTATCAGGGTCAGTAAGTGTATGTAGGCAGGAGCGGCGCTATCGGTAATGGCTGCGTACAATGGTATAATCAAATATCGTGAAGCACCAGGGAGGCGAGCGGGGGCTCGGGGGGGGGGGCTGTGGGGGCGGGGGGGGCGGGGGGGGGGGAGGCGGGGGGGCCCGCCCCCGCCCCCCCCGGGGGGAGCGGGGACCCCCGAAAAGGCGGGCGGGGGCAGCCGGCGGCGCGGAGGCACTGCGGCGGGATTTTTGGTTTGGGTGAGGCGCGGTCCGGCCGGCTGCCGCCTCGGCGCCTTTTTGGGGCGGTTTCTCTCCTTTTTGCCGCTCTTTGCCCCGGGGTGGGTTTTGCACCCCAACACCCCCGGCTCTCCCTCCCGCCTGCCCGCGGGCATCGCGCGGGGCACCCAGCGGGGCACGGGGGCACCCAGAGGGGCACCTGGGGGTCTCCCCGGGACGCCCAGCGGGGCATCCGTGGTTCTACCCGGGGCACACACGGGTATCTTCAGGGGCACCCAGAGGGGCACCACCTGGACCACCCAGAGGGACACCCAGAGGGACCCCTATGGGCACCCGGAGGGACCCCCGTGGGCACCCAGAGGGACCCTCGCGAGTATTCCTCGGGGTACCCAGCAGGTACCTGTGAGCACCGCCCGGGGCACCCAGAGAGTCACGCACAGGCATCACCTGGAGCATCCAGAGGAGCATCCACGGGCATCACCCGGAGCATCCAGAGGAGCACCCCTCGGGGCACCCGTGGGCGTCACATGGAACACCCAGAGTGACACCCACGGGCACCGCACAGGAGACCCAGAGGGTCACCCGTGGGCATCTCGCGGGGCACCCACCACCGGGGGCACCCAGCGGGTCCCCAGCCGGCGCTGGGATCCCCGGGCTGGGGGCAGAAAGCAGCAAATTCCAAACTCCGAGTACAAAAAAACAAACAAACAAACAAAACAAAACTACAAAAAAACCCCCAAAATCCAAAAAAGAACCCAAACCCCACCAAACAAGACATATATATATATATAGGGGATTTTATATATATATATATATATATATATTCCTTTGCGATTTAAAGTACCTTAACTGTGTGTGGGCCCGTGGGCCCGCGCCCCCCCGGCCCTGCAGCCCCATATATATATATGTGGAGATATATATATATATATATGTACAGGTTATTTGTTTTATTTATAGGTCACAAGGACTATTTTTAATTAATTTTTTTAAGCCGACGAGCCCGACTAAAAACCCTCTAGGAGAGACTGTAGTGCATGAAACCCCCGCGGTGATTGTCGAGCGGAGCCCCCTCGTGTCCCCATCCTGTGGGGGACTCCCCCGGAGCATCCCCAGGGATGGGGCGTGTGTGTCCCCCCCCCCCCGCGGCTTTGCGCCCACCCCGACCGCGGCCATCGAGGCCGCCGGGGGATAAAAAAAAGAAAAAAAAAAGGGAGAATGATTAAAAAAATAGAAATAATAAAAATGAGTGGTGCCCCCCGGGGAGGGACCGGGGGGTGTTGCATATTCCCTTTGGGCAGAGCCGGGATTGCGGCCCCAGGGGGGTGTCGGGGGAGCAGTGCAAAGACCCCGGGGGCGCGGGGGGCTCCCCGGCTCCCCAAGGGGAAGCCCCCGGCCCGGCCCCCCCGCTGCCGCCTTGTGGCCTGGGGGGCGTCGAGTTGATTCTTTTTTGCCTTTTTTTAAACATGGTTTAAGGTGCTTTTCTTGCCGAGGGCGGGTTTTGGGGGGCTGCGGCCGCAGCCCGGCCGGACGTGCTGCCGGCCCGGGGTGGGGAGGCAGCAAAAGGGGGGCAGGGGACGGCCCCGGTGGTGTCCCCGCGGGGACGGGGGCTCTGGGGGCTTCCTCGGGGCGGGGGGGCGGGGGCCAGGCCCGAGGGGCGCCAGCGCCCCTCGCCTCCCCAGGGCTTGCCGGGGGGGCTGCCCCGGTGCCCCCCCCCTCCGCTGTCACTGTCACCGCTGAAAAATGCTTTTTCTTTCTTTTTTTTTCCTATTTTTTTTTCTTTGAGCTGAGTCTTTTCCAGCCTAAACCCCCTTTTTTGTTTTCTGTTTTTCTATTTTTTTAAAATTTTCTCTTTTTTTTTTCTAAATTTTCTCTCTTCTTCTTCTTCTTTTTTTTTTTTTTTTTTTTTTTTT